TAGTGGGTTTATATTTCATACTGAAATGGGCAAAACAATTCTGAAGCTGTGTTTATAAGTATTGTGGGAATGGGGAAAAAAATAAGAACCAAGATGGATAATGTAAAGGTACAAATTCCCAGTGATGAATGTCATCATATTGTATACATAAGATGTACCAATAAACTTAATGAATAATAATTAAAAAAAAGGAACCACAGCTTCTTTCAGAAAAAGATGGTTGATTCCCAGGTAGGAGCAGAGTCAGGAGCATCATTTTGTGGTAGAGTAAGAAAATGCTTTAAAAAGGAGGGTGGGGAGTGTGTCTTAAGGATACATGGACAGTTTGAAGGGGCTCCCACTGTTCAAATCTTGGACAACTTGAGCATTAACATAAATAATGAAATTAATGGATTATAATTCACTGAATAAAATAGAAATCCATGACCTCATCCTAATAAGAGTTGGATAAACAAAGAAATAAATAGGGAGTTAGGGAGGGCTCTTCCTCATAGTAGGACTCAACTAATAAATGAGAATGGAGTGAAAGATTTAGAAAATATTTTGCAAACACCATAGTAAAGATTGGTTAGGCAAAAATAATAAATGGTTGCTAGCTATTGGGGGTGAATTTGTTAAGGAGTAAAATATATATAATCCATCATTTGGTCTTTCAGAACTGTGGGATCTATTCGTATTGGTTTATAAGCTTATTCTCAATTTCTTAATTTCTGAAAGTGCTCTGCTTCTTATTAGTTGCAAAGGGAAAATAGCAACTACACATAGAGAAACTGGGTGGTCAAAATCAACATCACCAATGAGGAAACATATATATCATGTAGCTACATGGGACATGCCCCCCCAAAAACACAAAATGTCATTTAAAAAATATTTTGCATGGAAATACAGAGCCTGAATAGCGAGGAAACATAAACTCAAACCGATAAACATTTTCTAAAATAAATGGCCTATATTCATTAAAAAGTCTAAGGCACAAAAGATAAAGGAAGACTAAAAAAGAAAATGACATAACTAAAGACAATACACAATCCTGGTCTTGATCCTGTACTGGATGAAAAAAAATGTGATAAAGGGCATTATTGGGACAATGGACACAATATCACTAGATAAAAGTACTGCATG